TTGCTAAGGTAGAAACATGAAAATAGCAGATGTTTCCTCTTGAAAATATTTGCTGTTTGAAGTCCAAGTCAGACGGAACATGTTTCCTTGAGCAGTTTGTCATGGTCAAGGAATCATGCAAGAAAACGTTGCCTAAATCATTGGCAAAAGTACGTATTTTATTCGAGGCCGGAAACTTTCAGCTTTAGTCAACACAATAATTCCTTGATAACAAGCCATAAATCCTGATCCGTAGGGAAACGTTTAACGAGTACGATAAGCAATCTTAAGATTTCGAGGAATATCGTCGTGAAAAGAAGGTATTAAAAAAAATGGTTGTTTGTGGAAATATACGTTTCAAAAGCCATAGGTCACATACCGCTATTAAGAAGGAAGGCTGTTTATATGAAATATGCACGAATGTGTATGTTTATTTCAGTCGGAGAATTCGAGAGATACAGTAGACGAGTACAGAATGTGTTGTATTAAAAATAAATTTCGACAAGAATAGCTGTTTTCAAAAATGCACATTTTAAGGTCCATAGATCGCGCATGGCCTCTAAATTTGGTCTCTAATGAATATATTACGGACGTCTGTCAACATAACTTCGTCTAAACGACTGAACGGGTTACCATGAAATTCCATATCTATCTTTAGACTCTGTATTCTCATCACAGGATTTGAATTAATGTTGAATAAATGTCGGTCCATGAATAATAATAATTATCCCTTGTAACTTCTCGATTCCCGTGACACACATTCTTCATTTGCAAAAACCGATACTTTCCGAGTAGTGTCGTAACCGATGTCGCCTGTCAAGCTCCACTGGCCCGGAGGGGAACCCCCCATTTGGCGAGAACACCGATGATTATACAACACGTCAATTCTGCGAATTTTGGGGGAAAACGAGCGCGATAGAGTAACGAGGAGTGACTGGCAAACTTAAATACAGTGTCCACCATTAATGAAACGTCAATTTTTTATATTCGATTACTGAATAATACTTTTCTCATATTTTTCATTATATTTTCATAAGGATTTCCTCCGTAAAACGGAGTCCAATCACTACTTCCTTGGATCTTTCATTCTTAATCATACGTTACTTGAATCATCTCAGAAATTCATTCATCGACAACAATTTCACGAAAATGCACCGACAAAACTAGAGTTTTTATTAATTAATACTAAAAATTCTTAGAATTTTATTTCTCATCGGTAATTGAAACCGGAACTGAATAATTCACTTCTTCTTTCTTCCTGAAATTTTCACGTAGTTACTTCCATCTTTCATCGCCTCCCAGTTTGACTACCTCGTAATTCACAATTCCGATTCAGATACCTACATTCTAATTTAATCAAACGACGAACTCCAAATTTCTCCCCAAAACCTTCTCTGAACTACAAATTACAACGCAATTGAATCATGGAGTAATCCAATTACTTCATAACGATCATTCACGGAGTTATTCAATCGTAATCGGGACTAACTCTGTCGTAGAGACGCATATGCTAGTAAAGCGCATAGACGGAGCCAGTCCTAGGACATTGCCGCGCAGAAAATCATAAAGTAAACTCACATTTTCGAAGCCTCTCTTTCATGTCACGGCCTCAGCTCGCCCTCGATCGATCTCCCATATCGTCTAGCTGAAACGGTAGATCCTATATCGAACTGGTCCACGTGGTCCTCGCGAGCCCTCGTTCCGCGAAGATGTCTCGCATCACCGTTCGATAGCTATCACCGACTCGCGCACCAATGTTTCGTGCTACCTCGAGACCTGACTCTATGAAGAACACGCGCCAAAAATGGGAACAAGATGCGACGCGGTGAGAGGCCGAGGCTCGACTGAAGCTCAGTCACTGAACACCGACGTGACGGGCATTCCCCTTGATCCGAAATGTCTCGCCCACCACCAGGTGGTATATCCCCCGACTACCTGCCTGCCCTGGCACAATGCAAACGGCCCCAGCCAGGTCGGATTTTCTTCGATCCTTGCGGGACGATTTCGTAAGCGGTGTTTTCACTTGGATGAAATGCGGTAGAGTGTTTTTCTACGCTAACCGTACGGACGTGTTTGGAGTCTCCTTGCTCGTTCATTGATGTCTTCGCAGACATGTCAGACCCTAGCAAGTCGAAACGGTTTACTCCATTTCTTGAATGTTTTTAATATTTTCGGGCTCGTAGTAGTCGAGTGAACCGAACCTTTTATATTAAAAATAAAATTTTTGTATGTAGAATTTATTAGGTTGTCCTAAATGTTCGTGGCATTTATATACTTCTACTTCTCAAATTAATATGTGAAATATACTCTTGAGTGTCACAAGAAAAGATAATCTGTCTCATTTCACGATAGTTTCTCACCTCTCTCAGATAGTCATTATATCGTTACTAGAAAATTTCTGTGGTTTTTTTTTTATTAAATTTTGACACGGTCTTCGGCACGAACTTATGGGACGACCTAATAACTCTGTGCCTTTATATTCAATCTTCTATAACCAGTGCCATGGGCAAAACCTTGGGATTCGAATAAATCCGAAGTTTGCCGATATGTTTGTCTCGTTTCCTCCTTGGAGAACGTTCAAAGGAGGAAACGAGACAAACATGTCGGTAAACTTCGGATTTATTCGAAGCCTACGGTTTTGCACATCGCTGTCTATAATTCTACTTTAAACAGATGTATCTTCTCGTCGTTTGGGTACATTAATAATTCGACGTCTTTGTTTCGAAAAAGTGAAATTTCAAATATTTCTTCAATCGTCATTACTGCTTATTCCAATATTATCAGCAGTAACTTTAATATCCTTCTTCTATAAACGCATATATATGCGTTTATAGAATATATATATATCCTTCATTGTTGCACGCCGCATGAACGTGCAAATTACATTTAACTTTCATCATCGGAAGTAACTCTCACTTGGATCCTCGAGTCAAATTATGGGGCACGGGCAGGCTCTCAAGGACAGTTTCCGTGCGCGCTCAACCATGGATTCGCTCGGACATAATATGGTTAACTCATGGTCAGGATCGACCGAAGACCACTATAATATCCGCTATTTTTAAACGAAGCGACGATTAGCTTACAATTAGATCACAGGCTCACTGTATTCAATGATTACAGTTTACTGGAATATGATGCATGATAGAGCTGTGGAAAGGGTTTTCTAGGAAGAGCTTTAAGATTTTGTGTTGTAATCAAACACAAATTATTAACTAGTGCGTCGACTGATGATCGTGACGATTTCGACTGCTGCGAGAGCGTACATGATTACAATTAAACGTGAAAGGTAATCTCGTTTAAGTATCCATTCCATTTGTTGTCAAACACAAAATCCTAAAGGTCCTTTACGACGATACTCATTTTCGTCTAGTTCTACCAAGTAATGATGTTGGAAGCTATTGTGTTGCAATCGTCTCCACTATTTACATCCGTAATCAGCTAACTCAGTAGCGTTACGTCATTTCTAAATCTGTAATTAATTGCCTCTGACGTAGTTCCGCAGGTATTTTTTTTTTTTTTTGTTTTTATTTCAAAATACAAGAAATCACCAGCGCGAGACTTCAAAACAATTTTTTCATTTCCATTCTTATCCAAATAGAAACATTATCTCATCGAGTTTCATATTTGGTGGTCGCGATGATTAGTGACGATCGCAGTTGTAATGATTGTTGTTACGATCATGATCGACTGCTGCGAAAGCACACGTGATTACATTTAAACGTGAAAAGAATTGACAAATTAGATAATTAGTAATTGCGACGATCGAGCGACGATCAACGGTGGACGATTAACGAGATATGAGTGACAGAAAATCCATAATTGATAACCAACAGAAAATGACTGTCGTATACGTTGTTTGTTATTACGATTATTCGCGTACTAATATCGCACTAATTTGGACCTGCCAACAAAGAGCAACGACTCGTACGGCTCTTCGTAAATAAATTCTATTTTCAGAAGACGCAGAATTCATTTCTACACTTAACACAAAGGAACATTCATTCAACCAAACGTAAGGAACATCCGCGAAGAGGAAACACGTAACGGATACAATTAACTGTATCCCGCGAACAAATTAATTGTAAACGGTCTAGGCCATGCTATTCAAAGAGGATCCACGCTTTCCACGGGAGGACACCATGGCTATAAATGACGGGGTTGCCAATCTTCGAGCAGTGATTTATCGGCGACGTATGAAAGCGGCTGCCAAGGTGAAAGAAGCACGCGTGCATAATGACAGTGAAAGGAAAGGTGGCTTCGAAACCGGCGCTATTATGCTCCACTCGCGCATTCAACTAGGCGCCAACAAAGACAGACTACGGAAAACGTTCGCCTCGATTCTGAAAGGTCGCGTTTTCCGGCGCGAGGAAATTACCACCGTGGGATGTCTAGCTCGCTACGTTGCAATTACGCCACGGATCAAACACGAGAGCCGCTTTCAATGTAATAGAATTGCTGGCAGACGGATCGACTCCGACTGGCTGAAACCTTGAGAATGGAAGAGCACTTCCTTGTCGCGACGTTCGACCAGCGGGCCCGAAAATTTACAAATGGGACGAAAAATCGAATTTCTCGGTTATCAGAAATTAATTTACTATTTCCACGTTGCAGCATCGCTGAAATAGAAAAATATGGTCGAAAGTAAAGTTTCTTGAGTAGTTACACGTTGTGACGTTGCCGAAATAGAAAAATTCAATCGAAATATAATGACCAGAAAATATCCTTCTCTCGGTACTAGGAAGATTTAGTTCCTTTTAATTTCATTGTATTATATTGTAGAAGAGTGGGGACAGTTTCTCTACGATATTACTACTTCTACAACAATAACTTCTTATTTTTATCTTTATGTACAATAGAACATTGTCTAGCTCACGTGTAATTATGACCATAACATCGCATGGGTTCACATCGTCTGCATCACAGAAGAAGAAACTGTTATGCACGGAAATAATGGATCAGTATTCGAGATGAAGTCAAAGTGAATCCTGGAACTAGTAAATGGGAGCGTCGAGAGTATCATCTATAGCATGAAAAAATCTATTTTATTTTTTTTAAACAAAAGTAATACAGATTTCACATTAAGAAAGTTGTAAAAATAGTTTATATCCTTCCTTTCATGCATATCTTGAAGATTATGGACGAAACGCAATCAGCATTGCGCAGTCTAAAGTCACGACAGAATTAATTCACCGCTCAAGACCACTAAGTGCTTCGTTCTTCCATGGTGACATAGAAGAAGAGTGGCGGCCAATTAATCCAGTTCCAACCATTATTTAATAATTTAAAGCAGACGCAGTACGCGGTCGAAGAACAAAGCTGCTGACAATTAAGAAAACAATATCGATACTCTTTGCTATATATTTCGTCGAACAGTTCTTGCAACAGTTACCATCTAAGAGTATATTTGAAACAATTATGTTTACATTTGACTAACTATTCACAGTTTTTAATCGTAAAACTGTTGCACTGTTTACTGTTTCAAGCATTACGCAGCAACACTTTCGGAGTCATTAACATTCAAATCGTATTATTTATGTCGTATTAAATCGTAAATTAAAGATCCGTAGGGGTAGGTCAAAGATGGAGTATATTATTATGTAGAAACCACGTTTAATTCAACGCTTTGACAGTTCTTCGCTGTAAACATTTTAGGCTCGTTGGCAATCAAAGCTTTCGTTGCGTCCGGACACACTGTGATCCTAGATTAACAAAAAAAGAACAAACATGTTATGAAAAAAAAAAAAAACAAATTTTATGTCAAGTGGGTACATTAAAGGGTTAAAAGGGGGACAGTTGGAAATATTAGAGAATCTTGTAAATATAATGTTAAATACACGCACCAGATCTCAAAAGTCTACGTGAAATATTTTGGGTGTAATAAATGGGCTCGAAATTGGTGAAAAATATACTCCCTTAATTTCATTTAATTGTGGACTCGAAATTATGCCTTTTGGTTAGAAACAAACATATTACATTCATGACACAGTCGTCGTTGTCAACATTTATCCAAAGAAATTTAGTTTAGATGGTTTATAATTCACGATGCGATAAATAAATGTTTATTCTTTCAAAGGTAAAGTTTCTCTTGTCAAGTACAACACAAGGATTTTCCGTTCAGTCTAACTGGTGTCATCTGCCTCGTTCGCAGTCATTGACCGAATCGTCAGTTCTAATTACTCCGTGCCCTCGGAATACGTACCCATGAGCAGCTTCCAGACTATCAACAACTAACGAGTCAACGTAGACACGTGGAGTGTGAAGAAGCCTCCACGTGAGAGGGTTGAAGACAGAAGCTTGGTATTCCCAGGAGATTTCAACCGCTTCAGGCTTGCCGACCACTTCACCAGCCAGCACGACTACGTGAGTGCTACCTGGCTCATAGTATTTGGAATGTGAGCTGAGTTTCATCTTTTCCGTTTCCTTGTTCTCACCCAGAACTCGGATAACGAACATGCCAACTTCGCCACCGTGGTCTAAACTCTCGTTTGTTTTGGAGATGTTTATCGTTACCCTGTAGTGACCCCCTGAAATTGTGTAAACAGATAGATTGCTTACTGAAAATTCACAGAACTCACGATTATTCGTAAACCACGAAGTGAGTTGAAAATGGACACTTCTTTGGTAGGATAACGGCACAATCGGATGAAGAGAACGGCACATGAAGTACAGGGTGTTTCATTTAAAGTGGAGTGGTTCAATGAAGAAGCAATCTACGGTATTTTACCCGAAGAACACGGTTTGCAACTGGAAGTCTCGTTTAACCCTTTGCACTCGAGAGGCTCTCAGTCACTATTAGGTTTCACGCAGCAAATCCTACAATACCTAATGTTTCTTTAGGTTTCGTTTCTTTGGAGCTCCAAGTAAAGGTGACCTTATTCTCAAATCTAGATAGCTTAGAATTCATGGCAATAGAATGCTAAGAAAGCATCTCGAGTTGCTGGTAGATACCAGAAAAGAAGGCCTCGAGTCCAAAGGGTTAGTATCAACATTTAAGCCTGCATAGAAGCATAGAAACCTAGAAAGGCTGCAACGAGTGGAAATAGCGAAATGAAGTACGAGAGTGTAATGGGATTCGTTGACTTCGATGGCGAGCACATTAGAAATGAACGATTCTAAGGAATTACTAACTGCAATACGGCTTCTCCGAGCTCGTCATTAGGTAAACAGAGGCATGGTAATTTCCTGGTTGAGCGTCCAATCCGAACCTGGGACAGTACTGGTTCACGCAATCGAAGCAGCTGCCTTCTTGAAACTTGTTCCATGAGGAGCAAGGAACAGCTAAGAATGGACACGCTGAGTTGATGCTCTCTTTGAAGTATTCGCAGCTGCGTATATGATTGCAGCCTAGGAATCGCTTGATGCCTGAAATGGAGAACGGATTGGCAGTCTTATGATTAGAGTGGCGGATGAAATGATAGCCTGGTTATCGTTATTTTCCACATTCGTCGAGCAACAGAAACACGGCGGTTATGAAATTCCACTAAAAGGGATGCGAAATAATTGATTTTATTGTGTTGCTTTATAAATAATCATGATTTCGGTGAACCTTCTGCAAGTAGCAATTTTTAATTTGTTTGCTAAATGGACGATGCTGATATAGTTGATTAAGATCTATTACGTATAATGGATCATAGAATAATATAATTGGAAATAAATCGCAAGGTAAAAAACGGGTTATTTATGAATCAATCCAATATTTCATACCGAGTTGCAAGAAATTTTAGTTTTGTTGATTTCGAATATACCCTGTGGTCGTAAAGCTGTCGATCGAATCTCAATGACATTCTTTTTATGCTCAATTTATACACCCTCGAACCTAGTAACGCCACGTTAATAACATTGTGAGGTCATTTCTTCTTTACTTAAATTACTTTACTTAAATGTTCAACAAAATATAACGAAAGTTTGAACACAGCTCATCGTGTAGTTTCTTTTTCAAACAATCTCTAAAAGTTCTTCTTTTTGGCGTGCGCCATTACAGTGTCGTGGCCCATTAAATAAATAGTGTTACGAAATAGAGATCTCACCTCGAAAGAAGCTCCCACGTTCCAAGGTGATTGAATTCAAAACACTCTCGTTGCAACCGGGCTGATTGCGACCGCCGTTTGGATAGAAATCTATATGCGCGACAGGTTGGGTGATACCGAGGCCGCCGCTGATAAAAGGATTGCAATCGGTATGGATGGCCGTGACGAATGTGGCGTCCGTCGGATCCAGTCGTACCATAGTCGACGTGTTGCTGAAATGCGGTTCGGCTGGATCGAGGCCTTTGACAAAGAAAACGAAACGTGAGATGCTTCCCTGAACGTTGCCATAACCTGGTGGATCGGCTCATCGTACACATTTGGGAGAAACCGACCGGAAGACATGCTTCGGGCAAGTCTTAGGAGTTAGGATAGGTATAGTCGATATTGAGTGGCGTGCAAAAGTTTCCAGCCAGATAGATCTTTCACTTTATATTCCGAAACTAATATCTAAAATAATTTTAACTAACCATGGGTATAAGGGTATGACAAATGAAAACGGGGTAAAAAATAAACTCTGTTTATTATAGAACGAAGTTGTTTGCATCCACTTTGTTTGCTTAGGAACATTCGGCACACGTGTACATTTAATGAATTGTAACATTGCTAAGCTGATCAGATGTACACTTTGAAAGTCTAATGACCTTTATCGCACATTTTAATTTGATCATTGATGACCTGATACACATTAATATAACATTAATGAGTTATTGAAGATAGAATGGAGTTGCTTTGATAAAATCCTATAATTTTCTAGAATTCACGTATTATTTTTATTATAATTCATGTTAATTTTCAGTTTGACTTTTGGTATATAAAGCACTCCATGTAAGTATACAGGGTGTCCCAAATCTCGGGGAGGAGCTGGAAATGGGGGGTAGCTGAGACGATTCTGAACAACAATTTCCTTTGCAAAAATGTCGGATGGGGCTTCGTTAAGGAGATATTAAGCGAAAACCCCGACCAATCAGAGCGCGCGTAGACCGTTGGAGCGGCCGCGGTAGCGAAGGCTACGCGCTAGGTCGATGCTTCGATGCACGTCGAGTCACTTGTTCGCGTGCAAGCGCGGCCACCAGCGCGTAGCCTTCGCTACCGCGGCCGCTCGAACGGTCTACGCGCGCTCTGATTGGTCGGGGTTTTCGCTTAATATCTCCTTAACGAAGCCCCATCCGACATTTTTGCAAAGGAAATTGTTGTTCAGAATCGTCTCAGCTACCCCCCATTTCCGGCTCCTCCCCGAGTTTTCGGACACCCTGTATATTTCGTGTATTGGGTTGTCCGGAAAATCCATGCCGATTTTTGATAGTTGCTGCAGGTCTGAATATGTCGAAATGGCTGAAAACAAATAACATATGTATGTACATCCCTCAAAAGGTGGAAAGGTCGTGGAACAAAATAATACCTATATAATTCAATAAATATACATATAAATAAATGTACATTACAATTCAAATGTGCCTTCGAGGTTTTCTCTTAAAAATTGGCACGAACTTTCTGGATAACCTAATATTATTTTAGCGTTCTTCTTGCCACTGCTGAATTGTTTCCTGCTGTATAGATTTCATATTAAATACCTCTGTACCTAAGTCTCAATTTGTACAACATCGATAAGATTCATCGGCTATCAAAAGAACAATAACCCATCAGTAACCAACACCGTCTGCCGAATTAATTTCAGTTTCGAACTGGTTGGAATTTATTTTACGCACGTCTTCGACGCGAAGCCATCTTTGAGGCCAGCTCTTCGTTTTTAAATCTTGTTTCACCTTGTCAAAAAGCCCGTACGGTAAACGCAACGCAAGTATTACATGTCCTTTCGTAACGCGAACCGCGTTACATCTGCATTGCGCAATGGCGGAAGTCATTTTTCGGTCTGGCGAGATACTGAATTAAAAGCGTAAACCGCGAAGGAAAGCGAGCCTTACCGCATTCTCGACAGGACTTTTACATTTTCCTACAAGAATGCTTGACGGATTACACGTCTAATTTACCAGGAAGTGAATCGCTAATTGTATGATAACCAGTTATTGTGTTATCGAGGTCTCAGGAAATTCTGAGGATTTTTCTACGAAGTTTCCCGCGATGTTTATAAACTGACAAAATCAGAAATGCACAATTGTTCTGTATCTAATACAGGATATGAAAGACATTCAAGAGCTTCAAGATGATGCATATAACGCGAAACTCGAATAGTTTTATCCAGTTTAACCATTTGTTGGAAAGAATACATACAAAGGATACGTACTGTAAAACGGATAGTATCTAGAGAATATTTACAAATCATGAATACATTACTCGGCACGATGCGCTTGATTAATCATTCGTAACGTGGCCTTTAATCTAAACACAGAGAATTCTTGGGAATTTATTTTCTGTTAATTATGCTCGGTGAAAGGAATTTGTAATAATATGGACCATAACGATTCATGTCGGAGATGCATAATCACCTCTCCTATTTCTGTTTGCAATCATCATTACAAGTATTGTTGTGTAAATAATAAAATTACCTGTTACGTCCCGGAGGAATAGGTGAAAAGCTCACCAGGGAGCTTTTCAGAATTCGCGTTTACTATAGTATTCCTGGATATGATTATGCACTGCTTTAACTGCATAAAACTTCATTGTACTTTTGTCCAGTTCGTCAATGTTAAACTTAATTTGCGTAGTGGACGTCGTTAGGCTACCAAAGTGAACTTAAACAATTTCATTTTACCTTCGACTACTTCATCGATGTTGAAATTAATATGTCTGATAAATGTCAGTAGTCCCAGAGAGCGGATTTAAATCACTTCAGTTTATTTTTGGCCAGTATATCAATACTCAAATTAAAAATTTATAAAGACTCGTTTCTCCTGCCACGTTTGCGCCTGACGAGATTGTCCTTGAACGAATGGGAAAAATGTAGGTATACCTTCAGGGGCAATGCGTTACTAAATAACAATACGCGCAAGAACGTGACTGAAAAATGTTTGAATATTTACGTTTCCCTCTCTGAATAAATAACGTGGCACTTTCTTTCTGTTCCCACTTGTTTCCAATCGTTACGAATATTTTATGAGTCATTTTATTCTTAACACGCAAAACAAATTCAGAAGATGGACTTCGAGTCGATTTCTATAAATTTGACTCGTTTAATGACTCCGAACCCCGTTATTAAGAAAATCGATCACGAATATAGAAAGTTACGAGTCAAATACACTTCTTTAACACTAAAATTTAAACATCTTCGTAACGTAGAGTCAATCGACGTGGCTCGTGAATCCTACGACTGACGTTGCAGCCAACGTATTATTCTAGCTGGCGTTACATCCAAGGCCTCATCGTTTCACCTGCCACTTCTTGGTGTTTCGTGCTCCCTTATTCCACTTGTTTACCGGATCTTGTCTTCGGGCGGGACCAAGGGCGTAAATGGAAGGCTCGTTTCGTCTCCAGTCAATAACTGATCCGTCCAACCCTTGCGAAGGGAGCCGCGCCGCGTTTCCACCCCGTCTGCACAAGTCAAGCCCGTAGGAGGGCCTTGGCTACCCTGATTCCACCCTGCTTTACAATTCTCTCATTATCCTGTTACGCTCGTTCCCAGCCAAGCTTTCGTGGCGTTCTGATGTCCTGGTAATTCCCGATGGGATCGATAGCTTACATAACGTGGTTCGACTGATCGAATCGCCTCCAGCTACCCCCCAGCCACAAGTGGATTGATCAGAAATGGGAAAAGGTTCTCGTGATTGATAGAGTTCCACCTACGGAGACGTGCTTAACTAAGTCCAGGAAGGCTGATAATTCTGGAAAATGTGCTTTTTCCTATGCATCCTGATCCTCGGAGGCTGTGGCTCCTTTTTTTTTTTTTTATCGTAGTCACAGTTACGGTTTAGCCGTCCCGAGGTACCAAAGCTATAGAGGGACCAATGAGCCCCAACAGGCTACAGGCATATCGCTAATGGAACAGAATTACGCAAATGCAGAGTAAATTTTTCAAGAAAGAAATGGAAAATGAAAGGATAGAGTGTGTATATTGAAGCATTCTCGTGATTAATGCGGTTCTATCGACGAAGAGGTGTCTAACTAGCTTCGAATGTACTGCTAATTCTGGAAATAATTGCTGCAGTGTTTCTAAAAGCCTCATTCTTGGCAAACACGTTTTGGTCACTTATGATATTTATCAGAAGAATCGATCACGTTTGCTGTTTTCGACAAAAATGTTTACACAGAAAAGAAACGAAAGATGTATCGGGAAAGGTCTATATCATGTCCGTATTAGATTTTTCGTAGTTCCACAACGTGAAAACTACCACAAGTATAAAATCCTCGATTAAGAAAAATGAAATCTACCGCACTGGCTTGTCCACCGATGGCGCGGTCTTTTTGTTGCCAGTGTAGATACACCAACGAAAGGAATTTATAAAACGACAAAGTCTGATCCACTCACCGGTAATTCTTCCAAGTTGATGTTGATACGAGTGTCGCATGAAGTACCCGATGTAGCCGCAAGTATGGGCGCCAAGACTGTGCCCTATGCAGTGCATCTTGGCCGCATCCATTCCGCCAATTTTGATCATCTGAGACGCCAAACGGGCTGTCATGGCACCGACGAGTCTCGTATTGGCAACGGCTTGGGTGTAAGGTGGACCTGCTCCACCGATCCAGTTGACGATCACCACGTTGCAGTCCTCTCGGAGCAGTAGCTCTTTCATCGTTTTCTGCAATGAGAAATTCGCATCGATGGAGAAAACAGATGTTCCAAATAGAATTGGGCCGATGGGACGGAGAGGAGCGGCGGAGATGACTAGCAGTTTGAAACAAATGCAAGTCGTCCTCGGGGGTTGTAGCGGTGTTTCTGTAAGCTACAGTACGGGCTTAGCAACCCCGAGGTAACCGAGTTATGGAGAGGTCAGTGGGCGTCCAACTCGTAGATGAGTTGTCAAGCAACGAAGACATAAGAAGTTATGCGATATAGGAGGGCCAGTGGGTCCCTATAGAGATGAGAAGTTATGCATTACAATTTGAAGTGGCCAGCCACGGATAAGAAGCGCAGAGTTATGATGATACGATTGTGAAATGTAAACGTAAAGATGTAAAAAAGCGGGAATAACCAGTATTAGGAAGAGAGAATATGTAAACATAAAGATATTTTGTTACAGGAAATGGTGTCAATAACTATGTAAATGTTTCGCATTAAATAAAAATACAAATACAAACATATGCAAGTCTGAGCCTGCATGAATCGGTATTGCGATTCATGGCACTCAGGGTATCAGTTGGAGGTGGCTTAGCCATCCGCAGACGTCACGGACCACAATGGGGATTGCTCAGCGTACCTGAAGGTCCCCTCTGCGCCGGGAGGCCCGAAAGGCCGACGGATGTGTGAAAAAAGGGAAGAAGAAGAAAGGGATGCATGGAAACAGGACAGAATGGCAAGGGTGGGTAATGCGTGTATGAGGGAAGTAAGGTAGGCTATAGAGCAGCTGAGAAACGAGAGGAAGTTGTTGAGGTGGACGAGTCGTCGAGTTGTATGGTATTAGAGTGTGGCAAGGTGTAGAATGGTCGTAGAAATGAAAACAAGATGCGATTGTGTGTCTAGTTTTTTTTGGTGAGAATATATTTTACAGAATTAAGTTTGTCATAAAATATATATTTTCAGCGCATGAAATATATCTGCGTGTACCACAAATGGTATATGCGGATATATTTGTGAGTGTAGATATTATTACTTCATTCATCTGAAATCAGAATCTCAAATGCAATTTTTCAAATTTTCTCTGAGGTCTTCGAATTACGAAATTACGTACCGAGACCCATGTTGTATCGCCATTATCGAGGAATCCATGAACGATCATGTAGAGATTATTCTTCTTTCGAAACGGCAACCCCCGAATGGTTTCGAATTTGTCAATCTTGATCTCGTGGGGTTGTTCAGGGTTGGTACGGGTATAGAGTTGGTAACGGGGGTTGATGCTGTCTGGGCGTGCAGGAAACGAAGAAACTGGTCTACTTCCTCCCGACCATGGTGGACCGATGTAGAAGCAACCGTATGGTTCGAAGCACCTCCACATGTACCAGCCTGTGCAATAAGTAAATCAAACTCGATAAGGTCTGATGGAAACGTATTTCTAGTTGAAAATTTGATTGGTTAGCGAGATTATAGAGAAATAGTATTAATCTTTTTGAAAGTTCTTCCATAAAGAGGTTAAATGAGGCTGTATTCTCATTTCGTTGATTTTAAAATTGTCCACGGTATAGAAGTAAGGCATTTACTTCGGTACGATTTAAAAGAAAAATTAAGCAAATTGTTATTTGACGCTTTTATTTTTATTTGGCCTATTTATAATCTTCTGTGCTTAAGTATTCATTTCCAGGAACCTACTCACGATACACAACACGAAAAAATATACGTCTTTCGATATACCTAGTAATAGTACGCAGAAGTTAGTTTCAACCTGGATTAATATGGAGTAATGTAGGAAGTGTTCCGTGTAAGTCGTAGAGTCTTCCTAAATAAACCAATAGTTACAATGTTAACAAGTGTGCGAGTTTCAATGAAACTGTACAACTTTGGTAACTAAAAACTCGCCTGTGACGTTACCAGACGGGCATCTATCTTACGAAGTCGCACGCATTTATCAATGTTTACAGTGGATCTACGTTTCAACAACGCGAAATGAATTGCTATGCTCGTCAGGGGTTATCTGGCACGTGTTATCTCTGCACGTTGCGTTTGATCAGTTCCTCGAAGACTTCGCCATTGTTTTGTCTAGTAGTTGGATCAACGATTAGCGTGGTTTGCATGCACGTGACTGGCAACTTGAACCACGCTTTCTATTTTCTTTCCAATTTTGACGAATGCATCGAATTGTGTAGTCACGTCGATAGTATTATTAGAAAGAAAGACCTTTTGTGATTAGGTGGACTTTACCCTCTGTACTTCAGAGTACTTGGTTCCATTTTTATAAATCCTTCATTCACAGATCCACCGTGCGATGCGATAAAAAATATAGTAAACAAAATTTGACGATAATTGTACGTGGTTTGTATAACAGATATGCATTTATGAAACATAGTACGATACCGAGTGATTCTTCGATAACCTTGACCTTGATATACACCGCAGAGGTGAAGGCACTAATCAATTTTCCCAAATAAAATGATAATAAATTTCACCTATATCGAAGATTCAAGTTTTACAGTGCTTGTTCATATTTGTTGCATGGCTGTTCCTCGCGAACTGACAGAACTCCGAAATTTACTATTATACAGACGGTTATAAAAAGATCCCTTAATTTTCATCCCTCGATGACCTTATAAACATTGCATTTACACCGCATTTGCAAATTAACACGTTGACTGTCATTTTTGAACTTACAGAACTCACGACCAATGAAATCTAATAAATTGCAAACCTTTTAATTACATTGCTATAATCAAAAAATTCTATGAAATATTAACGACTTAATGAAGTATTAGACGTTTCTATTCTTTACACTCTAGTTTGGGTAAGTATCAAGATCGTAACTGGACACGGAAAACTCGCGTTGCGGTCGATCTGTTGATTTATTATAAAAATTGCCCTTCGTAGTGCTTCAGTTGGTACATATCGCTAACGTCAAGCTCTTACGCAAAAGAAAATTTCGCCGAAATAGAAAAACCATGCCGAAATTGATATTCTACTCACTGTCCTGGAAGTCGAATCGATTTTCCTCTTCTTCCGGCGACAAAGTAGTGGTCGTCACATTATGTATGTCGATATGATTGTCGACAGCCTGGAGGCTTTGTTTATCTTTTATGGTCGCAACAAGGTTTGCGGTAACAGCAAATATCAACATCGTCTCGTTGAGAAACATTTTGCGTCACTGATGCTCCGAAGCACCGAAGCTTCTTCGAAATTCTCGATCCTATTTACCTTCGCCACTACCTTCGAACCGTCGCAACGGGGACAGAAACTGAAGAACACGAAACACTGAGTCACCAAGCGCACCAGAGGATGTCCACAAAATCCGCAGGCTTCAAAGTCTCTGGAACGGAATTCACTCCGATTGGTTCGTTCGGAACACGATGAACACTCTCGAGAACAATTTCTTCCTCTTCATGGTCTCTGGACTTGGACGATCAGAATCAATGACTGTCGGAGGTGGTCTCGAGTTAACTACGTACGCGCGTCATCAAGAGCAGAAGACGAGGCGGTTCTTCCGTCTGGCTTTGACTGTGACCATTTCTGATCTCCGATACGCGCCCTGATAGTTCACCAATGCGTACCAAGAATGTTAGAAGAAAAAAAAAAAAAAGGAACGATTGACGTAATTGGAGATAGCTTGACGGGAGAGGCGCCTTGGCAACAGGGTGTTGCAAAATAAACGAAAACTCGGACGGCGGTATCAGCGGTTACTCGTGGCGCTGGGATACAGTGCGGGATAAAACGATAGCCCACCCAACGTTTTTGTTCATGTGTAGAAGTATATGTACGAAGAAATAGTTGAATCGTTTCGGTATACAATCTAGACAAAATAAGAGAAGCTTCAAGATGTACTTGAAATGGCAGAAAGTGAACAAGTTCGAGTGCGCTCAATATTCTAACCAATTGAGGTCTTTAAACTGTACTATTTTGGATTTTACATATTCATATAACCAATTTTCATACACCAACACATCGTTTTCTATCCCTGCGCATTGTAACTAATATTCCTTGCCAACACTTGAATCACTCAAAAACATAATCCCCGTACAATATCATCTTTGATATACTTGGAGCTGTAGAAAGTATCTAAATACAAATACACTTAATATTTCCTCTCGATGACCATCATTAGCTGCTCCATAAAATTCGCGCGGTCACATATTCTCGCGAAAAGCCATCAGAAACTCCATGGAATAATGGTAAAGTCGCCTGGAAACCCGTCATGCTCTATAACATATATATCTCCTCGACGAAATCATTTTACAAGCTACTATCAAACGTTCCTCCGGGTCGACTATCGCATACGCGACGTACACGTGACCTGGCATGCCAGCGCCAAGAATTCGGTCAAACTGCAATGTCGACGAACGTTTCGAGGGTTCAAAGTCACGGACGCAGGCGACTTTCCTATCGCCGAGTAACGAGCTCACCGATCGAGCAACCACTGGGTACTAATCACTAAAAAATGCCGCTGTCCGGTCTTGCTTTGCTTTATCACACGTCCCCCCTCTACTCCGGCTGTTGTTTCTCGTTGTACGCGTTCCGTCGACACGACGAAGTCATGAGAAGACGAACGAGGCCCGACTCTAAACAAAAACTGCTCCGTCGGGGAACCGGACGAACCACATGTGGTCCGGGCCCTCAAAAGGCTCGGTCTTTTCTTCCCGGGCCCGATTCTCAGTCCTTAACTGGTTCACGGAATCTCGTCGAGCAGGCCTTTGCGAACGGTCTGCGGCGCAAGTTTCCGCTGAACCGTCCGTCCGTTGTCCTACTTAATTAATGTTGCGGCTAATTAGCAGCGATTGAAGGCGACTGGGATGCACCCGCCCAGTCGCGTCGATTCTTCTGTGGCAGGGCCTTCCAGTGCTCAACGTTAGAGGGAATAGCAGCAGATAGCTTACTCGCAAGTATATAGGAATTTGCCTTCGATTCCTATATATACTTGGTATGCAAGCAACAGTAATTAATTAATGATCAAACTGGATAAAAAGGAGTAGGAACAGGAAAGTCGTATAAAGAGAGTACGGATGTTTGTCGTTATCAGAATTATCGTTGAAATGAAATCTTCGTAAAGTCATGTACTTAAAGAGAGCATCGATGTTTATTATTATCAAAATGAACATTTCCACGAGAGGTTGTGCTGCGGCGTCAGTTCTTTTGGAGGACTCTCAAAGGGCCGCCACGAGATACAACCACTCGTGTTCTCATGGTTTCCTAGTAAAAGTGCGTAGGCGTATGCCCTTTAGGGACCAACAGTCCTTACTCCCATAAAAGGGCTCCCTTATCCTTTAAGGGCCATCCATTGAGTTTTTGGTCCCTCTTACACTTCGGTTTTATGAGCTCCTGTCGCCGAGGCTTGTGCTTCACTCAGCAGAACGTGTTTACATCCTTGAAGTACCGTTTCAAAGGGCTGCGTTATGAAAATATAGCGACGACAATTAATCAAGCTGGACGGTAACAGCAATTAATTATCAAAATGGATGAAACAGGAGAAAGAATAGGAAAATAAAACTTCAATGAAATCATATAATGAGAATACAGATGTTTATCATCAATTAATACGAAATTGATTTCAAAAATATAATCTTAATAATTATATACTTAAAGAGAGCTTTAATGTTTATCGAAATGAACAGTACACAAAGTAAATCTCAAAATAGAATTTCACAGATGTTCATCGTTATCAATAATAAAATACGTAATAATACACAAAATATTATTTTAATAAGATTGTATACTTACGGAGAGCACTGATGTTTATCATTCTGTAGCAAGATATCTTATTAATTTAAAGAAATTCTATCGCGAGCAAGTCCGTCAACGGTATAATGTTTCTGCTGAGAAAATTTTAGTAGTTTGGTTTGTAGATTTTCTTTTCATTTATGGGAAGAAGATTCCTTTATTGAGGGAAGAGAGTCCTTACGCTACGTGTCCATGGACTTCAACACGATCAAAAAAAAAAAAATTTTTTTTTCATCGACTTCCGCAAGATCCAACCAGGAGATCATAAACACATGGCTCGTGACCCACGTGACGCACACATTAACATATCATATGGATAATCAATACCTTGGATAAAATTTGTCTACCAACGTCTGTCGCCAAGCAACATTAAAATTGAACAAGAAAATAAATCAAGAATTTTGCTCCACTACAAATAGTACTTAACATTTGTCAAAGTAATGTATTTATAATTTGTTAGATTTTCGAAAGTGGCCAAGTATAGAATTCAAAGTTGAATAAATTATTTTGTTAATTTCCAACATCAAATTACAGAATCGGTTCTTCTTCTTATAGCATAGAGCAGAATCTCTAACAGAAAGTTTGTATACTATAGGGATTACGATCACCAATTTTTAGTTTGAAAATTGCGATCGTAGAATGAAAAATGAAAATGAAAATAAATTGAAAAATGGATATTAAAATGGCTCACTTCAATTTGACACCAAGTAACAGAACATACTAATAATAACGAGTACATTTGTTTTATTGATCGTACCAGGTACGTAAATTAGGGTTACAGGTGGTTTACGATCAGGGACATGATAATATATGTCGTAAAAGTGCAGGAATCAGTGGGGCGCTTTTTTTTTCTGAGAGTTGGGCATATCGTAGCATCAGGATACCATGGGAGTGTCGAGGTTCGTCAGGATGGAAATTCCTGGGCTTGGAACATTAATAGGAAACGAGTTGCCTTACCATTCGCTGGGAACACGTACAACGTGCCATAAAATGGGGTTGCCTGGCGAGGAAACAAGACAAATCGTCTGGATGTCAACGGTACTAGGAAACCATGGCATCGAAGGGTTTCATATTTCTGACTCCCTTAGGACTGGATCGTCAGGTGCGATAATCAACGTACGACGGATCAAGTACCCGAATAAAATGAAATGTGAAATGAAAATAAAACAAAATGACTTATTTTAGTCCTGAGGGGATGTAGCCACGTATGTGTATGTCAGATTCAAGGACCTTACCTTAAGATGATTCCGGGGTAAATGGTAAATTCCTCACAGTCCACTTACCGAAAGGAAAAGCCTTTCCCACTCGTGACCAGTCGGGTTGCTTGCCAATCGACACATCTGTTAGTAATAAACGAACATGCCTTCGTCGCTAAATTACTACGTGACCGAGTCCTGACCCTGTCATAAAACAGTCGGACTCCAAAATGCGAACTATTTACCGTAAAAGGTTTCTAAAAGACGTTGACGTTGACGTCTAATCGTAGCTGCAGTACGGGCTTAGCAACTCCGAGGTACCCGAGTTGTAGGAGGGCCAGTAGGCACTAATGAGGATGTCATAAAATGAAGAGAATTTAAAGCAATGTGACGAAAGAAATGAATGAATATTGTAAACAAGGACTATGCAAAACGTTTTAATGCAATAGACAACTCCGTACCATTATAAATAAATGAACGATAGACTACTAGCATCCTCAATGGAAGAATTATGAAAAGGACAAATGCAAGTGCAAAGCTTGGACTTTTCTGTAGTGTCTCGGCACGTCGGCAATTTGTATTCGTAGCCTGCAGGATATTCTAGCACGAATTGTAGGTAGTAAATGAGGACTTGATAGGGCAATGTAACAGGGTAGCAGGGGTTAGAAGGAGTGTTTCAAGGGTCTCGAAGACCCCTTCGACTACCAACGAAGCGGAATCAGCTGTAGGTTGTGTTCTTGTAAACTCGGGGTCACCGGCATACTTACCTAACTCTGATGGGGATTAAAATGGCATTGGGGGATATTCATTGCGCTATGGAACAAGTAAAATCTCAGGGATTCTGTGTTACGTTCATTCTTCTATGAATGTAAGGTTTGCATTAAGTTTAATTGAGATTAAAAATTTGAAGTAAGAAAAATGAAGTAAGAAAAATTGTCCAATAAGTTCAAGTCTATGCATCCTTGATTTCTCATGCACCATTCTAAATAAAAAATACACGCGTACCTGTGCATGCAAAAAGCCATCGCTAATGATAAACTAATGGTCAAAAACGAACTACTGCTGGAAAAAAAATAGAAATAAATTTATTACGCAAACATGCCATAAAATGGGCCACCATCTCCAACACCGCCATGCCAGGAGGAAAGATCACAGTGATCATATCTATATTAAAATTCGAAATAAATTCGAGCCACGCAAGAAGTTGGCAGTGACGTTTGGATATCACGTGACAGGGATGTCATTCATAACGCTCAGAGTAATCACGATGCAACACTCGTACGGACCACGTACTAAGCACCCAGAAAGGACAAAGAGTATCAACGGACGATGTTTAGGGTGATTGTGCAACATCCCCTAAGCGAACACGAGAGACATCTTAGGGGTGCCAAACATTAGGATGGTATGACATCGCAGTAGGCTACTTTCACAGGGGTGAAATGGCAATGGGGGATGCTGTGTGTATTGGTTTCAACTTACCAGAGTAACTCCGCAAGGGCGAACCCCCATTGCGCCGTCTATTGATCCAGGACACTACTGGAACCATACGCCCAGTCATCGACTGCTACGCAGGTACTATCGGGAGCTGGCGAGTTGGCCGAGCACAGGAATAGGGGCTGGTGTAAGGCTTCCTCAATTTCACTTTTACACAACATTCATGACTTTGAAATCGTATAGAATCGTATAGAAATGGCTCTGGGAAATTATGTTCCACCATTACAGAGACTCCAAAAACAGACCAACTTTCCACTCGTGGCAACAAGTCGTACTTGATAGTTTATAGGTGAAAAATTCCCTTCGTTGTAGAAGCCCTATATTTATTACTATATAGATCCATAATTGCTCTCAGAACAGTAGGCCATTTGCATTACTTTCGAGGTCATAATTGCACTCATAACAGGAGGCCATTTCTATTACTTTTAGGTCACCATTCTACCCATAATAGAAAGCCATGTTACCTTATAGGTCAAAATTCTACTCATAATAGGTCATTTTTATTACTTTATGAACCACGATTCCACTCGTAACAGCAAGCCACTTACTACCAATTCTCAGCACACGGTCCGCTGCCATTTCTCTCCATTTTATCGTAGCATTCCTCGCGTTAGTCCATCATTCCCCAATATCAGGGGGGCAGATCCGAGGGTCGAAGACCTCGTAAATTATGCTCGCTTGTCCGGAGAGAGACGAGTAGACACGAGGAGTATTAGGGCAATATGACCATGGTGCACGTTGGTTTCTTGGAACGAACTTCTAGTCTCCTGAAGTCGACCGAGGAATACAAACATCGACGGCGCTGCGGTCCAATACACGTGTCGCTTACCCCTGTTCGTATGTTTATCTAAATCCCCGCCACCTGTTGGACTTATGTACGCACGCCTCCTCCTTTCACCTGTCGTGGAGGTTTTGTTTTTATAGTGCGAGCACACGCACAATCAGGAGACCATGGCGTCTAGACGGTTGTCCAGCACCCGGTCGTCCTCGAGAATTACATGGCCCTACTAGTGGCAAGTAAA